AAGTGCTACCCTTCATACTTTCAATTCGTTCATTCAATCATTCATGCATTCATTCAGTCAATTGTTCGTTCAATCATTTGTTTGTTCATTCATGCATTTGTTCGTTCGTTCATTCAATTCATTCTCAAAGCTTAGAACTTTGAAGATTGTAAATATATCGAGAAAAAATTCATATCATATGCCTGGCCTGCTATTTCAATAAATATATATATATATATATATATATATATATATAACAATATTAATATATATATATATATATATAACAGTACTAACATCATCAACAATAATAATAGTAATAATAACAACAACAAAGTTGAATAAACTAAAAGTAAATTTATTCAACAACTTTTTGAAGAACAAACAAACGATGAAAACACTCTATGATGTTGAAGTTGCATACATAACTAGATACATAGATACATACATATATACATACATACATACATAAATACATACATACATACATACATACATACATACATACATACATACATACATACATACATACATACATACATACATACATACATACATACATACATACATACATACATACATGCATATATACATACATACATGCATATATACATACATGCATACATTACACAGGGGGTGAATGAACGAAAGAATGTATCAAAGAAAAATGACGGCATTATCATCATCGTCGTCATCGTCGCCATCATATTTCTATTATTATTGATAGCAGTAGCAGTAGTAGTAGTGAATTTTTGTGTTTTAGTGTATCTTAGGTAAGAATTATTTTGGAAATAATTGGGAAACTGGAAAATGGAATGCAGTAACCTCTTAACTGCAATGGAATCAGGCCAAAGACGTGCGAAGGAAAATCTTCTTACCTACATACATACATATATACACACACACACATACACACACACATAGAAACACATATACACACACATAGAAACAAACAAACGTGCTTGTATATACGCAAAACTCATGCGTTTTGTTTGCGCTGCATTAAATTAAATCTAAGGAAATAAACACTCTTAGAATGTATCGCTTTGTGTGTGTTGTTTGTGTGTGTCTACATATGTGTGTGTGTGTCTACATGTGTGTGTGTGTGTGTGTCTACATGTGTGTGTGTGTGTGCACATACATACATGCATACATACCAAATTTGAAAGAAATTAAAGAATTTAGAGAAAAGTACATTGTATCAAATCATATCGTATCGTATCGTTTCGTATAGCCTCATATGGTATCTTAAAGATGAAATTTGTCATAATTGCTGCTGATTTATACATGCAATTCAAGAAGGCACTTCTGAGTGAGCATTCCTTAAAACTTAAACCAAACAAACTTCTGTCGAATCAATGAACTCAACACACACTCACTCACCGCTGAATTACTTCGTTCACCAACCTCCACTTAACCCATAATTGAACTGTTTACACACAAACTCACACAAAAACACACACACTTTTACACATACACACAAACATATGCAAACACACACACATTAAACTTCTTTATATATAAACATACTTAAAATCGTGTAATCTACAGCAACCAGCACAGCTACCAATAGTATTTTAATCTGTTCAAATATACATGCACGAAAAATTGGCAGAATGGTTGGTTACTTTGGAGTTTTTCAACAGGGACTTTCGAAAAGTAACTTAACCACCACATGTGTGTGTAGTCGCATGTAATGCTTTAAAACAGCTGTTAGAAGTTAATCTGACGACGGCGAATCTTAACATCATTGGCTTGGGAGGGTTTGAAATTTTGACTGAGGCCGGCCAAGAAACTTTCAAAGTTTCCAAAATCTTGTTTTTTGCTTATCGCGTCAAATACACGGTTAACTCCCTTAGATCTACAGCTATAATTATCACATTCACTGCAAAATGTAATTGAGTAATAGGTTTAAGTTTTTTTAAATCAATATCTCCAACAGTGTTAAAACGTTTAACCCGTCATTACAAGCAACATAAAACTCTGACCTAAAAGTCATTTGAAATCCGATCTAGCACTACTGATTTACAAATTTGAATTAATTTAAAGTTATCTCTACTCGTGTATGTATGTGTATTTATGTTGTGTGTGTGCGCGCGCGCGTGTGTGTGCGTGTGCGCATTCTTATAATGAGATGTGCATACAAATTAGCTAATGTTTTTCATGTTTTTTTGCAGTAGTCGTAACGGTAAAGTTCTTAAAAAGGATATCGCAATGTTATTTGAGTTTGGGCAGACATTTTGAAACGCATTTAGAAAGAATTCACGTTATTTAATTGTTACAAAGCTATTTTTGTGATTCGTTGTTTTGAGAGTTTAGGTGAGAGCGCAGTTGAATTGACAGTAATTTCGCTATATAAATACAAATTTGATTGACTGGTTGCCTGGTTGATTGACTGGTCGATTGATTGATTGGTTGATTGATAAAAAGTTCAAGACATCATAGTATAAAATCGCATATCACCCAATCAAAGATCATTTTGAAAAACACTGAACATTTTATTTAACAAATTAATCAAATAAAACGCTGTTTCACGTTTAAATTCAGTAGAAATTTTTTGAGAGACGGCCGCAACATATCAAGTTATGTATGATTAAGAGAGTTTGAGATTATTTGGAAGAGAAATTAGTGGATAATGAGTGGCGGCCGTGGAATTTTAAACTTATTTCTCCGCATTCTGAACGTTGTTGCTGAAGTTCTGACGCATGGCGAACCAGAGAGAACTGTCTTCTCCGTCAGATGAGGAAGATGAAGATGACGAGGAAGCTGCGGCCTCGTCCAAATCATTTACGTCAGTACTTTGGTGAAAAGTTAATTTAAATTTAATCATTTTGAAAAAAATATGTGAGATAAAGTTGAAAAATATCAAAGAAATAATACATGAAAATTGAAAATTGTAGTGAAAAATAAAGGTTTGTCTTCATTTTTCTTACTTGTTCTGATTATTCCTAGACCTGGGTATTTTGGAGACGTACGTGTCGTACGATACACTCTTGCCGCCACCGCCTTCCCGGTAATTCTTATTGGAGTCTGATCAGTTGAAAAAGTGTTTCGTAGCGTTAAATTTGACTATTTGATCCTGACAAAAGTGGCTAATGTTTGGTAAATATGATTGACATACATTAAAAAGGGTGTTTCAAAGTGTCTAATTTGACAAATTTGTATTGAAGAAAGAGTTTTATATCATTAAATTCTATTGTTATACGCTGAAAATAATGTTTAATAACGTATCATGTTATAATGTTTGAAAAGTTAAGAATTCCAAAGATTTATATCTTAAAATAATTTGAGATTCGGTTATTAACAACTGACTATTTCTTAGTGAAGCAGTGACATTTTTCGAAGATTTATTGAAAGGGTTCAACGTGACATCAGTCACACTGTCGTCTGTCTCCGTCAACATGTCCACGGATTTCGTGGCGTGCTGCACCAGCTTCTCCATCAAGGCTTCGTCATCGCCTTCGATTTTTTTGAATATTTCTCAAGATGAATTTAAATTCTACGACGCATTTTTCTCGAGAAACTAAAATTTAATTACAGTAGGTAAATTTGTTATTTTTGATATTTTAAAACAAAAATTTATAATTAAAAAATAACCTTTGGCTGAATTGTAACGGTAGGTTGAATCGCCGTTGTTGAATCTCTTATCAAAAGGCAATGGTCGCTCTGTAAATTGATCAAATAAGGTCTTCTCATCAACTGAATGATGAAACAATTGAGAGCAAACGAGCCCGGCTTATAAAGAATTTTCGATAAAATAATTAATTACAAACGAACCGAGATTATCATCAAGAAACACATTACTGTTCTTGAACATCTCAGCCACGATGTCTCTCGAAATTTCTTTCGACTTATGAACTTCTTTCGACCACTTCGATTGAAAATTATTCTTGGGCGTTTCGATGAATGATTTCGAAGTGAACTTTTTGTTGAATTTGAAAGTCTCCAAATCATCTTCGCCTCTTAAATCATTTAAAAATCTTTCGTCCTTTTTAAATGATTGGAACGAGTAAGATGACGCAACAGGATTAGGACTGACGCACCTTGAAGCACTACCAAAAAACTCTTCCAATTTTTGAGAAATCATTTTTGCATCAGCAGACTTGTGCTTCTTGGCATCGAATTCATCGAGTTCCATCTTACTTCTCGCTGAGTTCATTTGCGGAATTTCTTGTCCTTTGTGCCTTCCTTCGATGGAAACACGTTTCGGCATGCCAAGGTTTTTGATGGCCGGAGTAATTTGATCGATGTGGTAGGCTGCATTGGAGCCAAGCATCTTACTAGCAAGAGTGCCATCCGGATCAAAGTCATCCTCGGCCAAGTTCTCATTTATCTTTTGACGCAGCAGCACAAATTTATCGTCCATTGAAAATTTATCCTGTTTTTAGTGAGTTGAATTGTGATTATTAAAATAGATAAATGAGAGGTAATCAGAGAGAAGTTGAACATAGTCACTTTTATGGTGTCGAAATTAACTGTTTGTAAATTTTTTGTAGCTCCAGAGTATATATTTTGCAATTTTCTTCTAAATTCCACATTTTTAACTCCGCTATCGGAATCCATGAAATATTTTTTATGATTTCAGAAATTGTTTGAAGATTTAAATCCGTGCGAATTACTTAATTTTAATGAATTTTGAATTTAATTTGCTTTATTTATTTCATGCCTGTGATGTTATTTTGTTAACTGCTTTCAATTTTGAATTCTATCGATTCAACATCTCCAAAAACATTTTAACAGATCAAATAAAAAATGAATTTAACTTAATTTTTCGGATTTAGCCTGTAAAATTATTTTATTTGATTTATTGAAAATTAATCAAAGGTTATAAAATAATTAATTTTTAAACAAAATTTTTTTCTTCTGCATTGCTATGGCGATTTGTTTACATCATGTTGACTGATCGATAATTTAATTAATCATTAAATCAGTTTATTAGATAGAGTTTAATAGTTAAAACTTTAAATTAATTAGTTAATTAATAGTGGAAATCTAAATTTATCTGATTTCTTTAAGATTATTAATCATTTAATATTGAAAATGGTCGGCCATTGTTAGATCACATTAAAACTTTTTAATACTTAATCTTAATGATTAAGATTAAGGATTAATGTTAATTAATTTAATGTATGATTAATCATCATTTTATTTATTATTATTTATTTTTAATATAATAAACTATTTTAAAAAAACTTTTAAATAAATAAATTAAACTATACAAAAAAGCGATGAACGCTGAGGACGCCAGGTATTTGAAACGGAGAATCACGGCAGGTTCTATAGATGTCCACCCTGTTGAAAAAGCACTGGTCGTCAATTATGAGGTAGAAGCTGTCATCTTGTCAGAGTCCGGAGAACCGGTTCTTGGGGACAAGAAGCAGTGCCAGAAAGTTGTCAAAGTCGGGGCGATGGGGGAGAATACAGACATCAAGTTGATGGCAAAAAACATAATTGATAAATGCAAATTAATCCATCCAAGCAAACAGCCAGAGATTGAGCAGTTGTTGTATTACTTGCAGAAAAGAAAGGTGTCAAGCAGTACCTCGAACAGCGCTGGAGGTCGAGGTCACCAACAGAAAATTAAACACAGTCATCAAAATTCATTAGATAACTTGACTTCACTAGGTAACATGCAAATAACTGAACTGGCAAATATAAATGATCTGGAGATGTACCTGGAGATGTTATACGATGAAATTTCTGAGAGATTACGAGGTACACATCTTATATTACAACTGGCTTTGAAGCCTGAAAATTTAGATGAACTCTGCCAGAATGAGATTTTACTGGGTGCCCTCTCAAGAGTCCTGGCAGAAGATTGGAAGAACAGCACTGAACTTGCAACAAACATTGTGCACATATTCTTCTGCTTCTCTAGATTCTCACAACTGCATGCTGTCGTCTCACATTTCCAGGTTGGATCTCTATGCATGAAGATCATCGAACACGAGTTGAACCTTTACGATGGATGGATGGACCAGATGAAGAAAACAATCAAAAAGGATTTAGTGAAATCAGCCCAGAAGCAACTACAGCAGCTGACAGCCATGCAGGAGAGGCTGCTTCAAGTTTCATTCCACATGCTTCTCAATCTAGCCGAGGATAGAAAGTTGGAAGCAAAGATGCACAAGAAAGGCATCGTGAAGATGCTAGTGAGAACTTTGGAAAGAAAAAATAATGTTGAGTTGTTGAGGCTGGTCATATCATTTTTGAAGAAGTTGAGCATTTTTGTGGAGAACAAGGACAACATGGTGAAGTTGAATACTGTTGAGTCGCTGGCATCTATTCTGGCTGGGTCTAAAAATGAAGATTTGATAAATGTCAGCCTGAGGTTGCTACTAAATTTGAGCTTTGATGGCAGCATTCGACATCAGATATTTCAAAATGACATGTTGAAGATGTTGATGGATCTGCTGAAGAGTGATTTGAATCGACCGATCGTCCTCTGCCTCCTCTACAACCTCACTGTCAACAAGAGGAACTGCCTGCATTTTGTTGAGTCAGACTGCTGTCAGGTGCTCATGAAACTTCTGATGGCTGAGAAGGAGAGGAACAAGTTTGAAATCGAGGTATTTGTCAACAATTTCAATTATCGCTCATTAAATTATTCATTTTTTTCAATTTTTTATTTCTTCTAGATTTTTATTTATTAAAGCTAAATTCTATGACTAATCCTGTTAACAAACATTTCACATTTCTCAACAACTGCAGACGTTGGGCCTGTGTGTGAACTTGGCGTCGAATCCGACCTGTGCCGATGTCTTGAGTGATCCTAAACTAGTGCAGTTCCTTATGAAGAGGACCGTCAAAAATAGGGATCCACTGACTGCAAAACTTTTGAAAAAACTTTCATACCACTTGAAATTTTCACCAGACGAAGACAAGAAACCAGATAAAGAGGGCAGTCTAATGAAAATTGAGAGAAAGAAAAAATTATCAGCAGCTAAGAAAATCTTCCTAGATTACGTTGGTGACATTGGCTCTAATGTGAAGAACGCTTTTAGAGATGAGTTTTCAGCTGAGTGTTTGTCCATCCTGGCAAACATGAAGGATCCAGAGTTGGATTTTGAGATGGTTTTGAAGGAATACAAGTTGATTGAGTGGCTTAAAGAGAACTTGAAACCTGCCTCTCTCTTCAGTAATGATGACGAGATTGTTTTTCAGGTCACGTCAACTTATTTTACCATTTTTTCACCATCTTTTTGTCATTTGATGTTGTCGGCGTTTTTACCATTACAATCATCGCCCTTATCTCGAAAAATCATCAATGCTCTCATTACAATTGACATCACTTCATCACTTCTGGCCTCATAATCTACACTAGGTCATTCGTTTTCTGTCAAAATCATTGTTTTATTACTATATTTATATGTGTGTGTGTGTGTGTATCTGTGTGTACACATAACGCACACACACACACATACGCACGCACACACACGCATACACACATTTATACGAATAGATGGTCCGTCTAATAAGCACGTCCTGTCTCGATGAGACGTGTGCCTCTGCCCTCGCCGACAGTGGCATCGTCCAGTCTCTAATTTCACTTTTAACCATCAAACAGGAAGAGGATGTCATGGTCATTTTGTTATTATTATTGTTGTTGTTGTTGTTGTTGTTAATGTTAATATCGTTGCTGTCATTGCGCTAATATTAGTTATTCATAAAGCCATGCTTGCATATTATAGATACATTATGTACATAATTTATGCGTATGATAGCGTACAATGTAACTGTGTGTACAGTACATGAGTGTGTATGTATGCGCGTACGTATAGTATGTGTATGTGCGGTTCATGAGTGTGTACATGTAATGTACAACCTACAGGTTATACAAATTGTGTACATCTTCTACCAGCTGATACAGCATGAGAAGACGAAGGAGTACGTGATATTGAAGACCCAGGCACCAGCCTACCTCATTGACCTCATGCATGATGGCAATGAACAAATCAGAAAGGTTGCTGGCTGTTCTCTTGCTACTCCTATTTGTTTTTATTGCTATGTTTGTTGTTGTTGTTGTTGTCACCTATTTATTGTTGTTACTGTTATTATTCTCAATGTCGCCGTCGTCATTCCTGAAAAAAAAAACTTTGATCAGATCTGTTCTGGAGCCCTGGACATCGTGTCCAATCACGACCAGGCATGGTCGAAGAAGATCAAACTGGAAAAGTTTCGCATCCACAATCAACAGTGGATCGAGATGATCAAGATGCAGCAGCAGCATCAACAGCAGCAACCCGGCAGCGATCTCAACGACTACCTGACCTACCCTCACCACACGAGTCACAGGGGTTTTGGGAATGGCTTGAATTACTCTCATGACAGTTTTCTCGGTGGCTACATCGAAGACGCATCAGTACTGGAGGGCGCTGAGTTCTATTACGGAGACATGAATCCGGATTACATGCCTGGCGACGGCCTGTCCATCTACTCGGACATCTACGGGTCGATGAAAGGTCACGAGAGGTTGTACAATGACCTTGACATATCGCCGTACGAGAGGCCACCGTCGTCCTTGAACTTCGGTGTTAAGGAGAAGAGTTTGGGCCACAAGGGCTACGGAAATGATGCTGGTGGGGGGGATGAGGACTTCGATGATCAGCTGTTCGGATCATCGTATTATCTCGGTGCGATGGGTTATGGAGGGGGCAGGTGATTTAGTATGGGGGGTCTTTTTTTGGTTTTTAGCGAGGTGGAAGACATAGCCAGACATCCCACACGAACTCTAGCCGTAACTGTTTGAGCGCAGTTACGGCTAGATTTCGTGTGGGATGGATGAAATTTAGGGAACTGGGTGGGGTATTGTGTGGAAAGAAATAGTCAATGAAGATGAAAGGGAGGGTATATAAAGCATGTGTGAGAGCAGCGATGGTATATGGTGGTGAAACTTGGGTGTTGAGGAGAGAGGAGGAAAGTGTACTGCAGAGGGCTGAAAGAGCTATGGTGAGGATGATGTGTGGGGTTAAAGTGAAGGATAGGAGGAGTAGTACAGAGCTGATGTCAATGATGGGACTGAATGAGGACATTGTGACATTGATAAGGAGATCGAGATTGCGGTGGTATGGACATGTGTTGAGAAGGGATGAAAGTGTCGGGATTAGGCGAGCGTTGGAGTTCGAGGTTGAAGGAGTGGTAGGAAGGGGTCGTCCGCGATTGGGATGGAGAGAGCAGGTGGAGAAGGACAGGGTGAAAGCGGGGTTGCGTGATACTGAGGCGAGTGACAGATGTGGATGGCGTCGAGGGGTATTTCGGTTTCATCATAGGTAGCCAAACGGCAACCCCCGATCTCGGAGAAAATGTCGTCTAAACGTGTGTTGTTGTTGTTGTTGTTGGAAGACATAGCCTCTTATGGTATCGAATCGTATCGTTTCGTATCGTATATTTTGAAGGTATGGAAGTAGGTAGGTGTATCTTGACAGTTTGGTAGTTTGGAAGGATTACTTTAACTGAGTGTGCACAACTCTCATCATGTTTCTTTTGGGTTGGTTCCTTGATTTCTCGAGCCGTCGTTGTTGTCGCTGAAGATGAATTGTGGTATAGCTAGGTACTTAGCTGGTATTGCTTGGTGTATTTAGCTGGTATTAGCTGGTATTGGTTGGTGTATTTAGCTGGTATTAGCTGGCATTAGTTGGTGGATTTAGCTGGTATTAGCTGGCATTAGTTGGTGTATTTAGCTGGTATTAACTGGCATTAGTTGGTATATTTACCTGGTATTAGGCATTTTTAAGGTATTAGGTCATCAGAGGCGTGTGGTGACAGATTTACTTACATTTTTTTCACTGTAGTATTTCGATTGAATAATCTTGAAATCCTAACTGGAATTTGGACATTTTAACCTATTTAAATCATAATTATTATTATAATTATTATTATTATTGTTTTTTTTATGAGGAATATTTACATAATTATTGTTATTTAATTTCCAACTCATTCATTTACAACAATAGTGAAGTGATATAGACAAATGTTATGGTTCAATTCGTATTAAAAATGCTTGTATGTAAAAAAAAGTGTGTGTGTGGTGTGTGTGTGTATGTGTGTGTGTGTGATTTTGGTGTGTGTGTGTGTGTGTGTGTGTGCGTGATTTTGTTATATGTGTCTTATGTGTCTATTACATAAATGAAAAATTGTATTTGTGTGTGTGCTTGTTTATGTTTGTTTGTGTATGTGTTATCGTATGTGTGGTGTGAGTGGCAATAGAACACACATGTGACTGACTTAATTTTTCAACTTATAAAGCTTCGATCACGATGGATATTTATTGTAATTAATCATCTTTATCATGTATGTATGTATGAATGTATGTATGTATGTATGTATGTATGTATGTATGTATGTATGTATGTATGTATGTATGTATGTATGTATGTATGTATGTATGTATGTATGAATGTATGTATGAATGTATGTATGTATGTATGTATGTATGTATGTATGTATGTATGAATGTATGTATGTATGTATGTGTGGATAGAGGTATCTATGTATTTGTTTATTTATTTTATGTTTATTTATTTTATTATAAATATTTCAGTTATATATTTATTTTAATAAATTTGTTATCTTCAAAATTTATGACATTTAAAATTATTAATTATTGTTTCATTATTTGTTTTATCTTGTTTGTTTATTCGTTTGTTTATTTAACTATTTATATATGTTTTTGTTTATGTATTTGTTCAATAATCTGTTCATTCATTTATTTGTGAATATCTTTCTTTCTTTCGTTCATTCTTGGTTATAATGCATGGCTAGTATTCAATTTTCCCTTTAGTAAAAAAACATTTTTTCGGAATATTTCGCCCAGTAAAATTTAATTATAACTCTATAATATTCATAACGTTATTTCTTAAAAATTTATTACTCTTACATATTTTTTCCATGACACTTAAGATCAAAAAAAATGAGTTCAAAGTTCAAATGGAAAAATGAGTTTTTATATAAAATGATCGAAAAAGTTATATATATATATATATATATATATATATATATATATATATATATATATATATATATATGCATATACATAACATGTATGTGTGTTTGTATGTATGTGTGTGTGTGTCTGGGTGTGTTGTGTGTGTGTGTTTGTTTTGTATGTATGTATGTTAAGTTTATGCAATAACGGACTAATTAGAGTGGCCAATACATATTTTAATGTCGTTTTGATTGACAAGTGGGGTTGTGATAATGATGATGAAGAAGAAGACGACGATGATGATACTGATGATAATTATACTAACAACGATGATGATGGTACGCTAATGACTGATGATTATGATGATGATGATGATGATGATGAGAATTTATATGAAAAAACCAATAAAAATAAAACAATGTTATATATATTTTAATAAAATATTAATTAGATGGAATGTGTTGAAACTTTTGAAATGTAATGCACGCAGAATAATTTATATATATATATATATATATATAATATATATATATACAATATTCTATATATATATATATATATACGCAGATATTAATAATAATAAATTAATATTAATATATAATAAAAGTAACATCAATAATAATGATAATAACATCAGTAATGAATGCAGTATTGGCGTTAACGTGTTGGTATAGTAGCATTGAGAATTGCAAGATTATGAACGATAAAAATGATAATAACATTTAACATTAAAAAGAAGCACATTTAAACATCCACTAAATCGAGATGTAACTTTTTTGGCTTTCCATCGTCCAGCATGTGCAGGTGAATGAGAGATGGCATTGGTAAATTGGTTCGGACCGAATATACCGGACAGGATTCGAACTCGCACGGTTCGTCGGCCCAGGCGTATCGAAATCCGACGGTATGCCACGGACAGTTTTCCGTGTTTAGAGTTACGGATTTGTTCGTCGATGACGTCACGATGACGTGGTCCCAGTAGAAGCCTGCTGCTTTGTCTTCTGGTCCTTTGCAGGTTTGGTTACGCGGTGTTTTTGAGCAGCAGATCTGTGTGAGTGTTGGTCATTTCATTTAGATGGACAACGAACAAAATTGCAAAACTAAGATTCATCATCGCCTGTCCATCGATATATAAATTGTTTTGTTCCTACCTCAAATCCAAAGTCACTCTTAACGATGATGTTGGTGTTGAAGTTCAAGGTCAGATCTTTTTTTTTTACGTTGACATATTCGAATGGGGTGGGTCCTTTGTGCTCCACTTTTTCGTGGTAGGCTACGTGGACTGCCCCGCGGAGTAGACGCTCTCCAAGTTTTTGTTTCTGCCTGTGGAATTGGGGTAAATCAAAATTTACCTGCATACAAGCAATAAACAAATTCGAAAAAACATTCATTCAGATGCACATACAAGCGTGTGCCATCCACGTGACCAAGAAACACGTGAGCAAGAAACACGTGACCAGTCACCTGATGTCCTCCATATCCGGAAGATCGATAGATACCGCCAGAAACGTCGAATCCAAATCAGAATTTGGCAGGTAGCCTCGGTTGGCCGTCGCTCGCCACCTGTTGCTAGCTGTGGCCAGTGATTTCGATTGAGAATTGTTGTTTGGCAGAGCCTTGAAAATGTTATCGGTTAAAAATTATTTCCTTTTAATTATTCAACATTTCCCAGTGATAGTTATAATACAGCAAAAAAATATATTGTTTATGTTGATAAAGATGGACCTCTAAACAATTATCACTAATGAAACAACACTTCATCAGCGAAGCATCGAGAGATTGAGGCACAATTCATCAGATCATCAGTGATCACTATTGGAGATCACTAACGCAACGAAACATTGGTACTGACCTGTATTATACCGAACAAAATAAGAGGGGTGTCATCATTATTAAGATTACTCTCATCATTACTATCACCACCGCCGGAAGCAGAGGAATGAGGTTGCGTCCTTGACCTTACTCCCATCCTCCAATGGTGAGTGAATTTTTTGAAGAAGTATCTGTAGTCTGAGGAACTCTTCTTCGATTTTTCTTTCTTCTCTTTCTCTTTCTGATCTCTGTCGTCATCCTCAAACGCATCACCTAGCGGGTTAAATAATGCGTTTCATCTTAACTTGTTTTATTGTTTTTTTTTACATCCATTTCTAACTCAGCCGGCCGTTCATTCGTTTTAATTCGTTGAACAACAATGGAATTTTTTCCTAACATCTTTGATGAGTAAATAGAAATTAAAAAGTAAAAACGTTAACCCTGTTGAAAAATGACTCCTCTAATTTGAACATCCAACAGTGGATGGATCATCCCGTTCCAGTTTCTCGAAGAACTTTCCAGATATGTCTTTTCAGAGACGTTAAGCGCTTGAGAGGGCAGCCATTCTTCTGGAAGGTTCTCATTGTAGATGGCAGATATGAGGCCAAGAGGACGTTTTAAGTGTCGCCGAAGTTTGTGACCGAAGTGCCAACACGGTCCCGGAAATATCGGTGAGTAGGATCCGGATCTATCGCGGATTCTAGGCGCTTTAGATTTACCTGCGGGGTTTGGTCGTTAAACTAAATTTATTTATTTATTTGCTTATTATTAATTTTCTTAATTACCAATTATTTATTAATTCATTTTATTTTAGCACGCTCGTGTAGAAAAAAGGTTTATATAGAGAAGCAAATTTTATTTCTTGACCGTACAACTAAATAATTTTTTTTTAAATTTTTGTAGTGGGAAGCAGGTAGGACGTACTGGCAATGGTCCAGGGGATGTCGTACAGATGTATGTCGGGCCAGGGAACGTCTGATTTGGCGGGAAAAACTGAAAAAATTCTCAAATCATCTTCATCACCGTCGTCACCTTCATTGATGTTAGTGTTGTCGCTATCAGTGAAATTCGCTATCTGCGTTTAGCAATATTATAAGATCCTTTAGATGTTGTAAGATTAATTTATTTTTTTTAATATTCTAATTTAACTTCACAAATACGAGTAGATTTTAGTGTACAAATTTCAATTCGCAATAGCACTGCTCACTTTGTTGAGTCTATCAAGGCCTCTATCATGTCCAGTGCACACCCACACATCCCCGAACATGACGTCACGAAGTTTGATCACCTGATCTTCTGACTGGCCAATCAGAGAAGCCGTTATGAGATATGGTCCTTTGTGTGTTGGAGGCTCTAATGTTACTCGCCACGTGTTTCCAGCCGCTAAAATTAAGAGAAATTTTTTACTAAAAATCTCATCAAAGTTGCTCGTTATTTTTATTTTTACGGTTTTAATACATAAATAAACATTTATTTTGCTCAATTTATTTTAAAATTTATTAAATAGCATATTTCAAACAATCGTCACTAAAAAAATTATCAACCAACCGGCTCTTTGGACTTGACTCGTATATCGATATTCGGGCTCAACCTCGGCCAAGTATTTCGATAGCGAATCATCTTTAACGCTGGCTTCAGTGGTTAGTACGTTCGTGTGTTGCTTTGTCGCGATGGATTGCTTTGAAGAATCGAACATGTACAGCCGAACAATTACTGATATATTTTTGTAGTCTGTCGGTTTTGGACCGTAACCCCAAATAACCGGCTTGTGGGGAGAGCCTTGTAGGACCATGTGGTTTGAAAAGTAGTTGGCGAATCGGAGCTCTATCATGGATTCAACTGCATTGAATTTATTTTAAAATTGATTTCATCATCCTTCATAGTCTGTTTGATAATGAACTTTTGTGCTGCGCAATAGTCTTAACCAACGGTTAGGGGAAATTTAAATCTAACAAGAGTCAAAAAAATAAAAAAAAATTTAATCTAGTTGAAAAGTCAATATTCACTGACCTTTGGACTGATTGTTGTAGAAATAAACGACCACGCCCGCAACGACGGCCAGCGCGATGACCACAAAAATGGCCGCACATTTTCCTTCCCAATTTTTTTTATTTTCATCCAAATTGGGACTCGGAGTATCTCTATCAAAATCCTTACTCCAACCATCTTCTTCAATTTTTCCATTCGAAGGAGCGGCGTTCGAGCTGCCACCGACGTCCTCGTCGTAGTAGCCACCGTTGCCGTCGAGTTTTTTAATAGACGATTTCTTGCCGTCGGTAATTAACAGATTCCCGTCTTCCTTCGCAGTTTTTTTGATAATCTTGCGTTTTTTAGATTCCGTGTAGTCGTCGAGTGTGTCGCAGTTTGTGTCGTCGTCGTCGTCGTCGCCTTCCGTTTCCTCGTATTTGTTGTCGTTGTTGTTGTTCATGATGTCATCCTCGAGGGGAATGGTCTCAGCGTCACTATCCACATTGTTGCGCTCCCTGTTCTCTTCGTCTGACGTCATATCAAGGTCAGGGTCGTCTGTGACGTCACCGCTGTTGTTCTGCGTCAGATAGAAACGTAATTAGTTATTAAGTAAGGCTTTCTTTCCTCCGATCAATCATCAAATCAGTATTTTAATCAACTAATGAAGCAAACAAACGAAAAACTCACCCTGTTGTTGTGGTGGCTGATGTTGTTGTGTATGTTAGACATTTCCAAACTTCGGTTCGTCTGGGACAGCTGGGTGGTCGTGGTGGAGGCCCTGGACGCTCGGGAGGACATCTATCGGTGGGGCGGGCAGGAAGTTCAAAGGGCGGCAGTTCACTTTCCAAATAATCCTTCCACCACTCAACGACATGTCAAACACATTTTGTTTGCCGTGAGGTTAGTCAGATGTTTCCGTAGCAAGAGGTCTGGTATGCAGAAGTGGAAAACAAATAATTTAAAATTTGTGTACTACCGGGATGACTATTTTTTTAAATTCAAAATTTTTTAATTTTTAAACACCAAAACTGGATCATTTGCTTTCAACGACAAAAAAAAACATTTTAAATGTCGTAAATTCATTTTATTAAAATTATTCAAACAATTTTTAAATTAAAATTTTTAGAGCATTTTTCTATAACAAAAAAAAACTTAAAAAAAAAATCGATCATAAAACAATGAGAATACGGAAGCCGCAACATTACCATCCATACGGCATATACAAGCATACGACTTATACAAACATCCCACCTATACAAATATATACAAACACATCACCTATACAAACATATACAAACATACCACACTGTTGATGATACCTATAGTGCACACCATACAAACATGCGTGTACCATGTGAATGCGTGCAGTACGTACGTACATATGTGATGTACAATGTATTTGTGCCCATATGACTGTATATATAAATATATATAAATATATAACTTTATAAATACGTAGTTGTCTTCTTAGTATTATATTTATATTTTTGCATGTACATGTAAGTTTATGTGAGATGTGAATGTATTGCGTTTTCGCGGTCTCATCGTTATTACCTAAGATGAGTGTGCGAATTTAACAAATGACCATGCCCGTACACTGCGTAATTTTCTCATGCTTTCTCATTTTCTCTTTTTTTCTCTCTCTCTTTCTTTCTGTCTTTCTTTCTCTTCTTTAATCTTTTTTTCTGTCTCTCTTTCTTTCTGTCTCTCTTTCTCTTCTTTACTCTTTTTTTCTGAGCGTTTTTGTACATATGTTCTTCTTTGTGTTGATGTTTGTAACTGTCTCCAGTGCCAATGTCGTCTAAGGATTTTTCATCGTTCCCCTACAAACGCAGCTGCAAAATCTGACACGTAGATTATAAATTTTGTTTCAAGCCATGATACTCGCATACGCATTAAAAAGTTTTTTTACGCATATTTCTCTGTATTTGTGCGCATTAATACGTAATTATGAGCAATTTTACGCTGGAATGTGTGAGCGCGCGTGTGCGTGTGTGTGTGTACGCATTAACATTTTCATGAATGTACGCCGGTGTGATGTGCGCATTTGAAGAAATGGCGACGAGGCAAAAGCGAACGTTCAAGTCAGCAGCAGCAGCAGCAACACAAACAGTAGTTCAGCTCCAGTCCAGATCAATATTCACGCTCTCGATATGGGAAAAGTTATGGAAAGACAAATGATCATTGAAAGAAGATTATGTCCTGTTTATTCATCCAGTACATCCTGTCCATGCATATAACCAAGCACCGTCTGTTAATCACTCCACTTACAAAACCATCGTCATATTAACTCATTAATAAAAATAAATAATTGTTATAATAAAATGATAATAATCCGTTCTTAAAGAAAGAAGCTCATAATTAAAGCCTACCTACCTACCTACCCATCCACCCACCTACTTACCTACCAACTACCAACCAACCAATCAACCAACCGCCAGAAGATAATTAACTTAAATTACATTTTCATTTAATCCTGCAAGACACGCTCGATAAATAAATATATAAGGGCAATTAAATTTTCAATTTCCTGATACCATTTATGTTGTCTGCTTCCGGTAGAGATGATGGTGATGATGATGATGATGGTGATGATGGTGGTGATGATGATGGTGATGATGGTGGTGGTGGTGATGATGACGATGATGAAAAAATGATGATGATGAACTAGTAATGCGAAAATCTCTGGTTTGATTGCAAGGTAGGGTAGTAGTGCTGATTTCAAACATTTTTCATCTACACTACTGAACGAACATTTAATTTACATAACGCAAGGCAAAGCAGTGACAGGCACACCAAAGGTTAGACGAACGAACAAACGAACGAACGAACGAACAAATAAAAACCACAATATAAAACTTAGATATATAAACCAAAAAACCTCTCCAGAGATAAATAGATTTCACTTTACGAGCGTGCCACCATGCGTACGTAGAAATCGCTCTTTTAAAAAAATTCATTATTTGTATAGCGCTTGTTTTTAATAAACATTTTTATTATTTATATAGCGCTTAGTGCTCCGACGTTCGTGAAATTATATAAAAGTTCAATCGAGTCTATACTTGACCTATTTGCATGTAGTTGTGTATCCATTTAAATTTATCGTCTTCGTCATCATCACGTCATCATACATTATTATCTTTTTCATCATTATCTTTGTCATCATCATTTTCTTCCACGTCATCATCATTCATGACGTCAGGAGCCATAATTAATTTCATTTTTTCGAGGACATTCTGTTGAATTTCTGTTTCAATTTGACTTTTAAATTTCATTTAATTAACATTATATCCCGATCGATTACTCCGTTAACATTCTACAAGGTGGCTGTGATCTATTCTATAACTTACTCGATAACCCCAACACACTTCATAATTTTGTTTTCAAGCAAATAAAATATATCGTCTCGTATCGTTATTACGTACCCAATCACCTTAATCACCATCTTCATCGTCGTCGTCATCCATACTTATCTTTGTCTGGGCCTAACCAACAGATTTTTATAGGTATAATCCTGAACAGTCTATTCTAACGAATCGATGAATGAATTTGTTGGCATATTTAAATTTATTTTGTTACTAAATTATCTTTCATTTATTAACTTTTTCACATAAAATTAAAAAAAAACAAAGACGGATTTCTTTAAAATACTGATTTTATTATATGGAAAAAAACGAATAAGGTTGTAAAGATATATAATGGTAAAAAATTTAACGGCTATATAATTAAATGGTCAATTCTATCTATCTAGTTAGCTAGTAAATTCTAGGATGTGTATGTATGTGTGTGTTTGTGTGAGTGTGTGTGTACGCGGGCTTGTATGTGTACGTGTATTTGTCTGTCTGTATGTTTGCAAATGTGTGTGCGTGAATGTGTGTGTTGTAAATATGTTTGTGTGAGATGTATGTACGTTCGCGTGTGTATATGCAAGCATGTGAGTGTATAAGTACATGTGTACGTATGTGTGTGTGTGTGTTTGTACGTGTATGCGTATATGTGTGTGTGGTGTGTGTGTGAATGTGTGACTATGTGGCAAAAAATTCAACGATGTTAAAAAGTTGCAGGAGGTTTAATATGAAAAAAATTATATATTTAAAATGGGTTAATAATATTTTTTTAAATAATTATTATTATTGTGATCATAATAAAAAATTTATCTCATATACAATTGAAAATATTTATTAAATAAACAACCAAATAATAATAATAATTAATAGTAATAATAAAAACACTCATTATTATTATTTATTTATAACAATTCTCCCTCAATTATTACCCGAAACAGTAGAAAAATTAAGTAACATGCTATAACATAACTACCACTACTACTACTATTACCTATACTACTTCTACTACTACGACTTCTAACTACTACTACTACTGCTGCTGCTACAACAACTACTACTACTACTGCTGCTACAACCACTACATCAACTAAGAGGAAATTTACTAATCATACTAAAAACTATAAACCTCAGTCAGATAAAATGAAAATTTTTTTTCAAAATAAAAAAATTTTGAAAAAAAAATGTATGAGTTTTATTCACAAATGAAATTAAAACTCAAGAAAAATTGGTAGTAGTAGTAGTAGTAGAAGTAGTAGTAGTAGTAGCAGTAGCAGTAGTAGCAGTAGTAGTAGCAGTAGCAGTAGCAGTAGCAGTAGCAGTAGTAGTAGTAGTAGTAGTAGTAGTAGTAGTAGTAGTAGTAGTAGTAGTAGTAGTAGTAGTAGTAGTAGTAGTAGTAGTAGTAGCAGTAGTGGTCTCGTCAGTGGTAAGTACAGTAGGGCTAGGGTTAGACGGATTAGCAGTAGTAGAAGCAGCAGTAGTAAAAGTAGTTGTAGTAAAGGTAGCAGCGATAGTAGCAACAGTAAAAGTAGTAATAATGTAGTAGTGGCAGTATAGTGATAACGGCTTTGCAAACGGTTATTAAGAAGAATACGGAATAATAATGATGGAATCATAACATTTAATTAACTAATAATAACCATAACAATAACAATAATAATAATAATAACAATAATTATTATTATAATTATTATTCAAAATAATTTTAAGTAACAGTAATCAGTGTAAACGTCCGTAGACGACAAATCAAAATTCATCATTAGAAAAAAATGGTACATGAGAGAAACATTTACATTGTATTAAACGCTAGAAGAATCTTGACAACTAGACGAAACCGACGAAAAATTTTCGTTATTATTATTATTATAAATATTATTTTAAGTATTATAACTAATATTATTATTATTAATGTTATTAATGTTATTATTAATATACATTAACGGTTAGTTAGTTAATTAGCTAGTCATCAAGGAATGACGTTTAAAAATAATAATACATATCGGTTAGCGATGGAGAAAAAAATGGTTGTTCATTATTAACTAATTAAAAAAGACAATTGGATAATATATGTACACACTATATATATAAACACACACACACACACACACAGACACGCAGACACACACACACACACACACACAGACACGCAGACACACACACACACACACACACAACAATCCCACCAACACTGGCGTTGAGATATTTCTTAACAACCAAAGGTTAATATTTATTTCTATACAACTACATATTACAATTAACAATAATTTTTACGCTATTAAACAAGTCAAAAACTGAAACGCAAAAAAAGTCAATCCCAACTTATTCCAACGTAAAATGACAGAAAATCAATCAAATCTTATATTTAGAACATTTGATTAAATTGATGAAAAAAAAAAATAATAAACTTACAAAAAAAAAACAAAAAGCCATTTAAAACCATGATTCAATTATTATTTAAATATATATATATATATATATATATATATATATATATATATATATATATATATATATATATATTTAATAAGCTAATAATGCTTCTTTGTTTTATAAAATTGACACACTGACACACACACACACACACACGCACACATGCACACACAAACAAACACACACAAACACACATACACTCGCCTAGTTAACTAGATCTAAATAGAAATCGAAATATGGCATTGCACTAAATGTTATTAGAATTCAAAAGCATTGACAAACAATTAAAAATGAACTTAAAACATACACTGTATGTATGTGTATGATTTTTTTTGTTTTTATGTATAAGTGCATGTATGTCAGTGAGTATGTATGTATGTATGTATGTATGTATGTATGTATGTATGTATGTATGTATGTATGTATGTATGTATGTATGTATGTATGTATGTATGTATGTATGTATGTATGTATGTATGTATGTATGTATGTATGTATGTATGTATGTATGTATGTATGTATGTATGTATGTATGTATGTGTATGTATGTATGTATGTATGTATGTAAGTAATAAAACGCGAACATGCATTAATTTGTGAAGAACACTTCACATATAAACAATATGATCCAAAAGCACACATACACAAACATTCACACACACACACACACACACACGCACAAATACACACACACACATATGCAAGTACACAAATACATACATACATACATAGATCATAAAAAAAATATATAGAACATTCAAAAATTCCAAATATAGATAAAAACAAAATGGACCATAGTTTATAAGAGATGTGTTTCATGTGTAAAAATAAATCATACACACATACACGCACGCGCGCACACACAACCACACGCGTAAAAAGGAATGAAGTCAGTGTTAAAATGCAAACAAGCAAACACACACACACATGCACATGCACACAAACATACAAATACATTTAAAAAATTCATACAAAAAGCTCACATATAACCACACACACACATAGACAACACATGTATACAAAAACAAACTTACCAATAAATACAAAAAAAAACATACAGAAACAAACATAGAGACAGAAAACAAACGTAATACAATCATTTTAAGGTATTTTATATGAAAAACAATAATAATATTCGAAGTATTTATAGCGAGTAAAAATGGATGATTACTTAAAGACTGGAAGACCCATACAATCATTTTTAATTATTTTACAAAAATTAAATATATAAATAATTAAATAAACATTAATAACAATAATATTAATTATATAAATATAACGTTAAATACAAGCAATTAATTACTCAGTGTTTATTTATTTGGCATTAATATGTATACATTTTTAAAACTGAACAAACTTATAAATGTATGCAAACACACATATACAGAAATACACATACACACAAACACACGTACACACATACATAAGAATGGTGATTAACATACAAGTATAAAGTGTGTCATACAAAAACACTGTGTGTGTGTGTATGCATATGTGTATTCTCCCGATAAATGCTTTGTGTGTGTTTATATCTGTGTGTGTGCGTGCGTGTGTGTGTGTGTGCGTGTGTGTGTAAGTGTGCGTGTTTGTATAAAATAAAATGTACAATTAAAATGATTAAGAAACACCACCATCGTTTAAAATTACTCAAAATTCAAATCTATAGAACGTCCTTAAAAACAGTTTTCCTCTTCAAAAAAGCATCTTAAAACAATAAAAACAAAGCAAAACTTTATATTTTATAAATTAATGAACAAAGGAATATTTGAAATTTTAAAATTTAAACAAAACAAATTCGAAAATTTCATCCATTAGAAGATTTAAATGTCTTTTTAACAGCAAATAATTCTTTTTTCAACTATTTATCTTTCTTTCGTAAAATAAGCACTAAAGAAGTAGCCTCCTGTCTAATTCACTAATTTACTTGATACACGATCCGCACAAGATGGCGTCCCCGTCGAGAACGAACCCCTGTCCGACTAGGGATGTGCGACACATGCTGCATTTGAAGCAGTCACTGTGCCACTGACGATCCTCAAATGTTACGTACTTCGTGTTTCCAGATGTTCCTGTGTTTAAGCGTGTGTGTGTGTTGTGTATGTGTGAATGTGTTTGTGTGTGTGTGTGTCTGTGGGTGTTAGTGTTATAAACTAACCAGTCAGTCAATCAAATCAATCAACCAACCAGTCATACAACCAACCAACCAATCAATTAACCAATCAATCAACCGACCAGCCAATCAATTATCCAACCAACCAGTCAACCAACCATTCAATCAACCAATCAATCAACCAATCAATAAGTCAATCAACCAACCAGCCAGCCAGCCAGCCAGCCAACCAACCAGATATGGGCTTGCTACACTCATGGCACTTCTTAGCAAACTTCTCGTTGAAGCACTCGGCGCAGAATGGCAGTTCATCCTTCGTGACGAATTTCAAGCCAGAGAGCACCTTACTGCAGCCTTCGCACACGAAACACTCCTTGTGATACGTGTTGTCTTTGTAGGCCACTCCGCCTTTGCTGATTGACTGGATGTTTATTGTAGTAGAGGTTTGTTTTGTTTAATTTGTATTTTGTAATTTATCCCTCACGCTCGCCTTTATATTCTCTCTCTCTCTCTCTCTCTCTCTCTCTCTCTTTCTCTCTCTCTCTCTCCATGACGAAAAAACATTCAAAAGTTCATGCACAGCAACGACGACGACGTACTGCTTTGCATTTGAAACAGCGCTGTGCATGATGCTTTTCGTAGCAGGGCACACAGACGATGGTCTGGTTGCGGGGCACGAAACTCTGATCTGCTATTGGCTGCTTGCATTCATTGCAGCAGAAACATTCCATGTGGTATTGTTTGTCGTTGTAGTCGTATTTCTTCATGCCTGTGTTTGTCAATCAATCCATCAATCAATTAATCAATTAATCAATTAATCAATCAATCAATCAATCAATCAATCAATCAATCAATCAATCAATCAATCAATCAATCAATCAATCAATCAATCAATCAATCAATCGATCAATCAATCGATCAATCGATCGATCGATCAATCAATCAATCAATCAATCCTTCAATCCCTAAATCGATCATCCAACCAACCAACCGGATTTGAAAGCCTTCCCGCACTGATCACATTTGGCGGCAAAATTGTTGTCATGGCAGTCGGCGCAGTAGAGCTTGTTGTTGGTAGTGGCGAATGGCTTCTCAACGAGGGATAGATGGCAGTCGCAACATTTGAAGCACTTCTCATGCCAATGGGCGTCCTTGTAGGAGAGATCCTGAGTGAGAAAGTGAGTGGATGAATTAGTGAGAGAGTGAGTGTATGAGTGATTTAAGTGCATGAGAATGAGTGACTGAGTAAGTTACAGTTACATACAGACAAAACTTAACCACCAATCATATTTAACACAAATCAACAAAACAACCAAACTAATGGTTAACCAACCAAGCAACCAACCAGCCAACCAACCAACCAGCCAGTCAACCAACCAACCAGCCAGTCAATCAACCAACCAGCCAGTCAACCAACCAACCAACCAGCCAGCCAGTCAACCAACCGACCGACCAGCCAACCAACCAACCAGCCAGCCAACCTTAGAATCAGTTCCAATGACATGCTTGCATTCATTGCAGACATGGGCGTACAACCTCTCGTAACACTCAATGCAGTAGGGGTGTTCATCTCTCAACACATATCTATGGCCTATTTATCATAGCAATACAAATAATAATAATTATTATAATTATCGTTATTATAATATAATTATAATAACAATAATAATAATATTATTATTATTAATAATAATGACCAGTGAGATTGAGATCGCAGTTGAAACAGGCAAAATGACCATTGTGCCAATCCTGGTCCATAGCTTTTGTATACTCCCCAGAGAAGATCAGCTGGATGGATGGAGAGATAGATCAATGAATGAATGGATGAATAAAATAAATGAATGAATTAATGAATGAATAAATGGGGGAGAGAGAGAGAGAAAGAGAGAGAAAGAGCTGGATATATGTATGCATTAAATTTGAAATGCAACAAATAAAAAAAAAGTATACTATCAATCAGCCAATCAACCTGCCAATCGATCAGACAACCAACTCAACCAACCGACCAACCAACCAACCGACCAACCGACCGACGAACCTCATCACAAGCGGCACACCTAGGCCTGAAAAGTTCGGCATAGTGTCTCTGGCAGTAGAGGACGCCATCCTTGCTGCAGTAGCACATGTCGACGAGTAGCTCCTCGCACGTCGAGCACGTAAAGCAAGCGACGTGCCACGCGAGTCCACCCATGTACTTGGTGGCTTCGACTGTCAGGTCACCATTTTGCAACTCCCCATCACATTGGTGACATGTCTGTGTGATGGTGGTGGTGAAGAAATGGAAGGATGGATTAATTGAGTTAAGTGATTAGTGGATTGATGGATGGGTGAAATGGTGGATGGATGGAGTGACGGTTAGATTGATAGTAAGAAGGAAAAATTAATTTGTGGATGAATGAAATCACCGACAACTCAGCGCTAATATTTATTGAGTTTATTCTCCTAAATATGGAGACCAACTTTTTCATTATTTGCAATAAGATGGAGAACAATGAACGACCTAACCTTGACGCCGTTGTGGTTGACCTTGACACTGGCGACATCTATGGTGGCCGATCGAGTGGCCACGAACTCCTCAAAACTCTGCTTCTGCATGGCTGTCGTGGTCGGGGCGTTCAACTGGCGGCAGTATAACTGTGAGAAGTCTTGCCTGGTGGTGATGGTTGTGGTGATGACGGTGACAATGATGATGAAGATCATGACGATAATCAGTATATAAATAAAAAAAAAGAGATAAAAATCATTTTAAAAAACTCATTTAGTTTTAACGGTGTGATCTGTTTCTCTTTATTTTATATCGTGATAACGAAAATGATAGCAAAACAATGACATGATGGTGGTGATGAAGATAAGGATGACGGAGAAGATGATGGTGAAGATGGCAGATTATTTTCAAGAAGATAATGACGAATATAGAGAGAACAAAGTAAGATGATGAAAATGATGACACCAAATAGGAATCTAATACATCAGTTGATCATTCATTCAAGTGCACACAAAATAAACAAGAAAATACATCTCTCCAATAACTGCAACATCATTCATTATCAAACAACATCAAAATAACATCTCGTCAAAATAAAACAACAACACCAACAACAACAACAAACGAATGAATGAACAAACGAACGAATGAACGAACGAACAACTAAGCAAACAAACAAGTAAACAAAGTTAGCCATCTAGCGCTAAAAATTGTTATTCGTGACTTTTCCACATCTTCAATGCAAGCAATAAGTAGCAGCATCAGCATACATTCCACACTCGTCAGTTATAATGACACAGCGTCCAATCCAATATAAATCAACAAAAAAATTTTGTCTGAGGAACAAAAAATTTCTCTCTATCTATCTATCTATCTATCTCTCTCTCTCTCTCTCTCTCTCTCTCTCTCTCCTCTTTCTATCTCTATCTATCATTCTTAAAATTCGCTACCTTCGACAATAAATCTATGCACAAAGACACAAACATACGTGCGTGCGTGTGTGTGCGTGCGTATGTTTCTGCGAGTGTATGTGAGTAATAATAGGATAAAAAGGACAGCTGAAAGCAATTAGAAACAAACTGAGACAGACATGCAGCAGACAAAATAAGCAGCCAGCTAGCAAATAGCATGAAATCTGAACAGTTTATTACAAACCAACTATTAAAATTGGCGCACGGCAAACTGTGTAAACTACTACTACTACCATTGCAACTGCTGCTGCTGCAACTAATGTTACTACAAAGTACAACCTACCAAACATCACACAACACAAAAACAACAAAACCTAAAACAACAACACACCACGCACCACAACAGCGCACGACACAGCAACACGTTCAAAAGTACCTTGGGAGTTGCTGTCTTAACTGGGTGGACCTGTACTTGTCCCCATCAGTGCCCAGACGGGGTATCTTGTTGTTGTCCAGTTGGTGCATGTATTCATTCACCTGTTTGGGAAAATATCCCCACCCCACATACATACACACATACATACACTCATACATACACACACACACACACACACACACACACACACATATATATATATATATATATATATATATACACACATACATACACACACATACATACACACACACATTCATAGGTACAGAACACACATACAGTAAATGAAAAACAAGAGATAAGTATAGTGAGAGAGAGAGAGAGAGAGAGAGAGAGAGAGAGAGAGAGAGAGAGAGAGATAGAAAGTGAGAGAGATAAAGAGAGAGAAAAGAATTAGAGAAAGATTTGTTGTTGTGTTTTTGTTGACGTGATAAATAAATAGTAATAACTGCAAATAAATAGCACACATACATACAGTGCAAGCCCAACCCACAAACAGCCAGGCATAACAAGAGCATCAATGAATTAGAAAACCTTTGATGTATCAAGACCAAATGGAATCCACGAGTATCCTAATCGATTAGCTCGATCTCGTTCGGATTGAGATGTGGCCTGGGGGGCTCCACACAACTTCATCCCCAGTCGGTCAAACAGGGTGACGCTGGATTTTATGACGACATCGTGGCAGTCCCGAGCACATTTGCACTTGCGACATGTGTTTCTGCGGTTTTCAATAAAAATTTATTATAGAATACAGAGATGGAGGTCATGACTAAAAATACAATACAACGCCCATTAGTATCTCTAAATCCACTATCATACCAGCCAAAACCAGAAAAAAACACAATTAACATTCCAAATAATAAACATCTCATTTCACTCACTCACTCACTCACTCACTCACTCACTCACTCACTCACTCACTCACTCACTCACTCACTCACACACACACACACACACACACACATACACAAACGCACGCACGCACGCACGCATGCACACATCTTGTTAACAAAGTGCATCTCAAAATGTTATAAAAAACCCGCCCACTGTTGGGTCGGTTCTCTCCAGTGCCAGTCCTACCCCTCCATACTAACTAACTAACCTCCAATCGTGCAGTGCAAATCCAGTACATTTCTTATTGCAGAACAAGCAAGGTCTACCTTCATCTTGTTCCTCAATGTGGGCTGTCTGTGTGTGTGTGTGTGTGTGTGTGTATGTCTGTGTGTGCGCGTGTATGTGCGCGCGTGTGTATGTCTGTTTGCGTGTGTGTGCGCGTGCGTGTGTGTGCTGTAAAGAAAATAAAGAAGTAAATTGTGAGCATAAGAGAAAAAGAAAATTCTAAAGAGAGAGAGGGAGAAATAGAGAAATAAATAGATAGAAGGATCCAGAGAGAGAGAGAGAGAGAGCGAGAGAGAGAGAGAGAGAGAGAGGAGAGAGAGAGGAGAGAGAGAGAGAGTGAGAGTAAGATAGGATTTGTTTGGAATGCAAACAACTGTTATATATTGGTTAATGATGTTAATGGTGTATTTGAACAAAGAACAAAAAATACATTAAACATCTTACATTAGTGTAATTAACATCATTAAATACCTAACAAAAATAACACCAAAAACATTTAAAAAGAAGAAAAATGATTTATTTATAATAACAAATAAAAATAATATTTGTAAATAGTTACAACATTTCATCTAAATGATGGCAATAAATTAACTTTATTTTCAGTTAGCCAGAATTAATATTTCTAACTAATCAGAAAACACTCTTTCTCTCTCTCTCTCTCTCTCCCTCTCTCAATTATCCAACTATGGGCTGACTGTCTCTCTCTCTCTCTCTCTCTCTCTCTCTCTCTCTCTCTCTCTCTCTCTCTATGTGTGTGTTTCTGTGTGAGACCACCCAAAACCTGCTGATACGTTATATAAACTAAACTACTTATGAATTTTAAAAAAAAATACTACACACACTCTATTGTTAACCGACTCCTTTCTGATTATATAGACAGAGGAGACATCCACATAAAATAGTGACACCGAAATTCTCATTATTACTAACACAAACATAAACGCGCACAAATGCAAACATGCACACACACGCGCGCGCACACACTCACAAACACATGCACCCATTAAAATATGGTGCATGCTACAGGATATGAATTTAATGCACCATGCACTTCATAAACATAAATATGAAGTTATATATGTATAGTCATGTGTTATATATATATATATATAACACATGACTATACACATAACTTAAGTCAATTGATATTTATAGAATGTTATTAATATGCAGTACACTTAGTTGGTAGTCTAGTGTGTGTGCATGTGTGAGTTTAAGTGTGTGCGTGTGGTGTGTGTGTGTGTGTGTGTGTGTGTGTGTGGTGTGTGTTTGATATATCTGTCTGAGCCAATGTATGATTAAGTCTGCATGTTAGTGTGTTGTTTTACATTTCCATACAATCGTATGTATATAAACACATATATAGATTTTCCATCTACAGATATGGATTATGTACGTTTGTATGTATACATGTTTGTATTTCGTTTCGTTTCGTTTTGTATGCTCCCATAAAATTATTTATTCTGCAAGGCAATACCTGTTCTGCTTACAAACACACACACACGCACGCACGCATACACACACACACACGCACGCATACATGCATTATGTTTACTACCGATAATAATAACAAATCAGTAATTAGAACAAATAATTTTATCCATTTCATTCTTTCATTTTAACATTCAATCTATCAAGGATAATGATTCGCTCATTCTTACTTTTATTAGAGCTATTCAAGCTATTTATTTAGACTTTTTTATTGAATTTTTTAACAGAAATACAATCCTTCCAGCTTTATTCATGGCTTCATTCACTTCTTCGATCATGAATTCATTCCTTCCTTCATTCATCATTCCTTCACCTATACATTCATCCAATCATCCAAGCCTATATTAACTTTATCAATCCATCAATATGGAAAAATTTTCACATAACCATTCATTCACAGTTTTATCTATTCATACGTTCATTCATTCATTCATTCATTAAATCATTCATTCATCATTCATTCATCTTTCATTCATTCATTCATTCGTTTATTCATTCATTCGTTTATTCATTCATTAACTCTTTCATTCATTCATATGTTCAACTGTCCATAAATTAATTTATTTGCCTGCAAGTCTGCTATAAATAATACCTGTATGTGTTTTGACCAGTCCTTCAGTTCTTCATTCATTCATTCATTCATTAATGAATGAGAAAAGCTTTCATTCATTCCTTTACTCATCAATGTATTCATTCACTGCTTTAGCCATTCATTTATTCATTTATTCATTCATTCATTCATCCATTCAATCAATCAATCGCTTAAATACACTTCATTCTTTTATCCAATCATTCACTTATTAACTCATTTGTGTATTCTCATTGAATGAATCAATCATTCATCTACATTTTATTCAAATACTTACCCATGCAGCGCATTCATTCATTCAATTATTCATTCAATTACTCATTCATATTCATCCACTTCATTCATTTGTGTGTTTGTTTATTTATTTAACACATTCATTGCCTCACTCATTCCTTAGATGGCCAGTCTGTTCCATTGCAACCTACAAAAATGCTGCCACTACTATTTATTTATTACCATCATCACCATTATCATCATTATCACCACCATCACCATTATCAGTATTATCATCATCATCATCATTATCATCATCATCATCATCAATGTCATTGTATCATCATAACATACACAGAGCAAGAGTCTATTAGCATTAACAGAGTACATTACTATTACCAGTTCATTCATTCATTCTGGATTTTGAAAAGTTATAACTGTTAATAATAACAATTATTTACCATTACTTATCATAAATAATCAGAAAATAAAAATAAATGAAAATAATAACATTATTATTATTATTATTATCACTAGTTGCACAAAGATTTGAACAGCCAGCAGTTATAATAGCCCTTATAATTGTAACAAAGTAATTAACATTCCAACATTGGAAGGAGAGATCTTCAATGTACCAATGTAGTCAGTAACTAAAGCACACATTCACACACACAAACAAACGCACGCACACACACACACACACACAAACGCACACACACACATAACACAAACGGAAAATCTTTATAATAGCAAAAACAAAAAATTATTATTATTATTAATATTATCATTAATAATAATAATAATATTATTATTATTATTATTATTATTATTACTACTACTACTACTAGTAGTAGTAGTTAGTAGTAATAGTAGTAAAGAATCATTAAAAATTTGTACAAGCTGTTGCCAGGGTAAACATGAAAAGAACCTAACACAACACATACTCTCAATATTATAATAAAAAATAAATATTAATAATAATTAATAATAATAATTATAATAATAATAAGGTAATTACAAAAACAAATATCTGTATTAAATCTATGTAATTATGTATTTTATTTTACAGTGACATAAATTTTTTTTTTTCAAAAATAATTCATATTCACTTCAAAATTATGAATATAAGAAATATAATTCACTTGGTGTGATTAGTTCTATTATCATATGACACCATAATTATTATAATATATCATAATTTTAATTATAGTAGAATTATCACCAACATCATTATATCTATTTAAATTTACTTTTATCTTTTACTATCATCAATTACTTTCTAGCCAACTGTCTTAAAGAAAGTCTAAACAGCAAACAGTTTATCACAAAAAAGTATTTGAAAATTGGTTAGTTGGTTAATTGGTTTTTGATTGATTGGCTGATTATTCAATTAACTAATTGGTTAGTTGGTTGGTTAGTAGATTGACTAGAATTATTTATATATTATATAAAAAGTCTATATTTCATATTCTGATATAATTTCAATTAATTTTAAATGTTTATTTATTTCATGAAAATTTTAAAAATTTATTATAATAATAACAATATAACTTAAACTACTACTAATAATAATATTACTACTGAAGAGAATATGATGGAAAAAATAAAATAAAATTGATTTAAAAATCATTAAGTAAGATTAAAATCACAAAGAATTAAACTTTAAAGATCAAAGGCAAGAACAAATGCTTTATAAAAAAACACAAACTTATTCCTAGTCGTTTAGAAAACACATTTTTAAAAAAATAAAAACAAATATTGATTATATACACTCAAACAGAAATTTATTTATTTTATTTTTTATTAATAAATATTAAAAAATAAAAAATTATTATACACCTGGTTCATCATCCAGCAAGTCAGAGAAAAAAAATAGGAAAAAAATCATTTAAACCAAATCCAGACAAAATCAACGCCAAAAAAATTTATTTAAAACATTAATCATAAAATAAAATTCACTAACATTCACTAATTCGCACTCCTGGCCGTTTGAAAAACTGACTTTCTCGACTACTGCAGTCTGACCAGTAGCCATTGCTAAGACGACTAACGAAAATAAGACACCGCGATCAAAAAAGCATAGATAACTAAATTTATTTTAGAGATCTGAAAACCTTCGACGCATAGATCTGATATTTATGGAGGAATCATCTATATAAATGGACATTTATACCTTACTTCAATCTAATTTATATGATTATATCTTATACCGTTATATAATGGCATTTCTTGAATGTATTTGATGTACTCTTGCTTATATTTCTCCAATGAATTGTGAATTTATTGATATTTTATGAGTTATTCAAATCATTGTCATGAGTAGGTGTTCTAAAAATTTGTTTATTCGTGCATAACTAACAACTTGATTAGTTATAAATAACGAACTTTATTAACTCAATGACGGATAACAGCTACCATTCAACATGCCACTTCATTTATTCATTGCCAGGTTAACATCCTCTATCTTAGAGCATTACGGGATCTGTTTGCAGTCGAATGCGGTCACTTCAACAGCAGAACCAGGCGTCTTATCCATAACACCGTCTTTCTACCCACTTGAGCGATATATATTAATTTAAAATAAAACCAAAATGAATTTTTTCATAAATATATTTTTATTCACAAATTTCAATCATTGACGGGCCATTTTAAAAATGAACGTGAGAGATATATATGATTCGTTACAATAATCATTCATCCATTCTTCCATTCTGTACAATCATTCTTTTATACCTACATTCATTCATTCTTTCAATCTATGATTGATTTGATAAGTCAGTAGTTTTAAGATTTCAAATAATAATAATAATAACAACAACAATCAAATTAAAAAATCTTATTGGCTAATTTTCTATAATAATAATTCTTTCTATTGTACATTATGTATATATTAAGATAAATAGAGAGGGGAGAGAGAGAAAGAAAGAGAGAGAAAAAGAGAGAGAAAGGAAGGAGAGGGTAGTTTTTCTAATGTAAAGTTTGATTGACAATGAATTTATTTGCATTCTCGTCGTTGCTGAAGCTATCAGGGGTCTCATCTTTGATGTTGCAGGCAGCAGACGTTTTAAATTTTTTGTTGCTCTTGTTGGTGCTACTGTTTTTGCAGTTGTTGCTTTTGTTGTTTTTGTTGTTGTTGTTGTTTTTGTTGTTGTTTTTGTTTTTGGCGATGGGGTTTTTATTTATGTCGTTGTTGTTGTTGTTGATGACGTCATTGATGTTGTTGATGTCATTATTATTATTATTTTTATTATTACTATTATTATTATTATTGTTGTTGTTGTTATTATTATTATTGTCTGGCAGTGCAAAATCATTAAGAGGTGCATTATTATTGATCTTGTCGTTAAAGTTGTCTTGGTCAGTGGTTTCGTTTTTTACAATTGTGGTCTCCACAAAACTTGTTGAAACGTTGTTTATGTTGTCGTTGTTGTTGTTGTTGTTGTTGATGTTGCTGTTGTTGTTGATGTTGTTGTTGTTGTTGACGTCATCAGTGCGTTCCTGCTTTACAAAACTCAAATTGAACGGCAAAGAAATGTTGTTATTGACATTACAGTTACTAGCGATGGTGTTGTTAAAGAAACTGTTGTTGCTGTTGTTGTTGATGTCATCCATGCGTTCCTGCTTTACTAAACTCAAATTGAACGGCAAAGAAATGTTGTTGTTGACATTACAGTTACTAGTGATGGTATTGTTAAAAAAACTGTTGTTGTTGCTGTTATTAATGTTGTTGTTGTTTGTATTGATGTTGTTGTCTTTAACTATTGAATTTATATCTTCGATGTTAGTGTTATTGATGTCGCCATTTTTGCTGTTGATGTTGACATGAGAAACTACAGGCTCTAATACGTTGTTGTTGTTGATGTCATTGTCGTCCACAGTGTTGTTGCTACTGATGTTGTTGTTTTTGCCGCTGTTGATGCTGGTGTTGTTGTTATTGCCAAACTCGTTGTTGTTGCACTTTACGATGTTGATATTGTTAGTTTTGTCGTCGTTGTCATTAATTTCGTCAACATTTTTCAAAAGGTTGTAGTGAAGAGTGTGAGAGTTGTTAATTTCGTCTTTTTCACACTCAGCTGTTGACGAATTTGTGATTTCTTGCTCA